CCTGAGCATTAGCAAATACCCCCTGCACCATGGAAAGAAAGTCTCTGCAGATGTAGGTAGCTCCCATGGGAAGCATTCCTACAGAGGAGTTCAGTCACCRAGACCTGCTCTCCGTGCCACATGCACCCCTAGGAAACACAGCAAGTCACTGATCACAAAAATAAAGTCAAATGCAGTAAATGAAGCCTTTAGGGTTAGTCTCAGGGAGAATGTTTGACCTTCTCAGGCAGGATAAACATCACTCAACTGGATGCATCTGCATATGGCACTGTAGCCCTATTCCTGGATCTAACCTTATACAGGGAAACCCAAGCTGGTTGAAGAGCAATTACTTCCCTATAACACATAGTTAATCAAGGCCTGGCTTCCACTCTTTGCAAGGCCACCTATAATTAAGAACCATGTGGGCAGACATCCCTGTTTCCATACCTTCTTYACACAGTTAGCTTTAAACAATCATTATTCCTTCACACCAATTTAAGTGTTATGGCCACTGGTTCGTTTTGTTTTGTCTGCAGTTTCTACTGACAACTGCAAATAGCCAGAGGGARATCCTTCCTTGTTTTCTCAGGAGAAAAGCTATGCCAGAAAAGATGATTGAGAAATGTTCTCACTTGAGCTTCACATGTAAAAATGCATTTTTTTTTTTCCCCAGAGACCAGCATTCTCTCTCACCCAGGGCACAAACCACACACATTCACATACAAGGAGCTGAGCACTGGGCTTTGGGATGATTCCTGCCCCTCCATCCTCAAATTGCTTGGGCCAGCCTAGGTAAAGCAAAGTGGTTGCAGAGTAGCCAGAGCTAATCTGAACAGGATCAGAGCAAATCAACATGTCACACCACTTGCCACACAGGAGCTGTAACCATCTCTGAAGCAGTGAGTCAAGGCAGGCAACTTTTCCTGTCTTGCTTCAGATGTTATGAAGTAAGGTAGAACATTGTTCTCCTCAGGTCTAGAGGAGATAGGTGCACGTACTGATATACCTGCCATAAACAGACACACATCCCTTCCTTTCTGGCAGAAACCCAGGAAAAGCCCATTCCAAAGCTGACTTACTGCTCTGCTGACAGATACCTTTGAAAGCTCACTGAACTGTATAGCAAAGATGTGTGTGGAGATGATCCCTGCATTGCTGAGACAAGGGTGAAAGGCATAGGAAGTCTTGTACTCTGGCTGCATATTTCACACAGATTTCTACCCCTCTGGTATTTTCCTTAAGTGCTGCCAGCACTTAGGAGTCTGTTTTTGCTATTTATGCATTCTCTAGATCCCAAATATTGGAGGGTTTCTATAAGTCTCTTTCAAAAYGTAAGAGCAATAGTTCCAGTAGATCCCAGGCATTTAGAGATGCTGGCAGCCTTCAAGTGAGGCTCTCAAACTGCAGCTACACACCTAAGCTTTCAGAAACAGCCTGCAAGACAAAAAACACTTCAGCTTCCTCCTCTACATACATAAATATGTATCTTAGAGGAGCCAACTAGGATGGAACAAGCCATGATCTGCAACACTGAAGACCCAGCCTAGTGCAGGGTATGTAGTAACTAGACCCTCACCTTCCACCAGAGCTCATCACAGGTACCAGCTGGGACAAATCAATGGATTTGAACAAATTTGTAACTTTGAGGCCATGATGATATTTGTTATGATGAATCAAAAAAACACATTAAAGAAACACAGATGCAGTGAGATCATATCATTTTCTGGAACCTTCCTATTTCTTAAAAGCCTTGCCCAATTTYCCCCTCAAAATTTCCACACATAAAGGCATCTAATGTGCTCTATGGTCACGTCAATTAAATTGCAGGTGGGTTGCATTATGGTTGGCAGCCTAAGACAAGTTCAGTCACTATCATTTGGAGGTTAAGTTCACCCTGAACTGTGGACAGACTGGTGTCTGTTTTTCAATTATTTTGTACAGCTCCCAATTATACACAACCCACGTTCTGTAATAAAAGCAAAGAGAAAACAAAATCCAAAGGAATTTTATCTACCTCTTTTTCCACTTACTCCATCAAAGTTCTTTTGCTTAAAAAAAGTAACTGGCCACCAGAACAGCAAAGCAGCCAAAGCATTATTTTAATCACCTCATTTTTCAAAATCCATCCTGTCCTTTGTACTTCTAGGTTTCAATAATAATCCCAAATCACCCAATGACTCCTAACATTTTTTTAGGTTTACACTGCATTTCTCCCTCCACACAGAGAAGGCCTTTCATTTAGAACAGATGCAGAGAGCTGCAAATTTTTCAGTAGCTGGGATTTTCCCTGCACACCAATACAAGCACTAACCCTATCCAAGTACAGATGGTCAACGATACRGTCAATTGTCTGTTGCAGCAAGTAAAGAAATGGAAAGGCTGACAGAAGAGAGAGTGGGGACAACCTAAAATCAAGGAAGACACAGAATGATGATCATGTATCATCCCTCAGCTGAGCCACAGGCCCTATCTTCTTGGAAGAGACTGCCGATAAGTTTTAACCCCAACTACTCCATCCTAGAGCCCTAACCAAGCCAAACATCCAGCTTAAAGCAACAGGGCACATTGAACTCAGTGGAGATGAAGCACTTAACTGCTTTGCTGAGCAAGGATGAGCAGCTGAGCTTGGGTTTTCTCTGCACTTATTCCTTTACATCTGGGCTCTGGTTTTCCTGGCCACATAGCAGCTGGTTACATCCTAGACCTTAAAATTCCTAAGAGCCAAACTGGAAATTCAGCTGTGTAACACATGCTCCACCTAGTGTTTACTCACTAATATTTCTGCTGTTAAAACAAAACACAGAGATTAGACAGAAGATAAAATGTTATCATCATCAATGATAAGATTAGTGAATCCAGCTTCTTTTGATTATTTTTTAAAATATTTTGAAAGGCAAAAAAAAAAAGGAAAGTATCAGAATTACCTGTACAATTTTAATTTAGTGCCCATTTACACCTCCACTAATAATATACATTAATTTCTGTTGAGAGAGTAAATAGATTTCACAGAGCAAAATGTCAGAAAAGCGTTTTAAGAAAGGAGCAGGCATTTTACCAAGTGTTTTGTGGAGGCGACGTGAATTGAGAATTTGAACCTCTAGGGGGAGCTATGGGCAAATACAGGGAAAAACCCCTAACAGCCACCAGTGCCAGGCAGTTAGCGACAGCAGGAATCATACAGGGAAAGGTTTCTCTGTGAAACCCCACAGCAAAACTCCCAGGGTTTGAGCCAAGCGGTGTAGTGCCTAGTGAGGAAAGTGAGAGTCAACAGCCCTGGGGTTGATCTCTCAAGCTCTGCTGCTCCCTTCAGGGAGCCTTCTGCCAGGGCTCAGTGCTGCCTGCAGCCTGTTCACACTCTCAGATTGCACGTTCCTTCCCAAAATCCCAMCTTGGAAGGTGCATGGAGGCCATTCCAAGAGAAGTCCCCCACACCACACTGCTATATRGAGGACAGTTACTCCCACCTCATCCATATACGAAGCTTCCTTCCCCAAATGCCACCTACCTCTCCTATGCTGCAGAGTGCTCAGGCAGTCCTCCAAGAACATGTCATTGAGGTCCTCACGGGGAGAGCAATGCCCATTGCCACCTTGGACCATGCTGTGGGTGCCACCACTGGTGGTGGCACAACCACCTCGAGCTCCAGGCCTCCTACTTTCAGGCTTTGTGCATACATCCCACACAGAGCCTGGTGCCTCTGGGCAGATGGGATCATACTAGGTTTGACCTCAACCATGGCTGGAGGCAGGAAGGAAGCACCTACAAGACCCCTCTGAAGGCCCTAAAAACCAGATGGAGGGAGCAGGAAGCTAAACATACCTGGCTCGGTCAGAGGCTAACAGGCTCTTTCATTGCATACAGCTGCACCCTGGACCAGGCTGGGCTTATGATAAATAGGGGGTATTAAAAGCAGCTCCATGACACCTGTGCTCACCTGTCCCCACTGTGCTCCCCCCTCAGCCACTGCTCTGGGGCCTAATCTTGAGGAGCCATTTGGGAAAGCTGTGCCAAGGCGGGGGTGGCCTCCCGCCAGGTGCATGGCTTGGATTTAAAATACTTTTACATAGCAGTGGGTGGTATGTATGTATGAGGCTTGTGCACTTTGAAAGAGGGGGATTTGGCTTCTGTGCTGAGCAGGGGCATGGACAGTGAGACCGTTGAACCGCAGGGCGCAGACAGAGCCTGCTGCTGCCTCAGCCTGCCCCAAACCTGTGCCTGCGTAGGCAGTTCCTGAGCTGATTAATGCCAGTAGTGCCAAAACAAAGTGAAGGCTATGTGGGACAAGCAGGCGGCAGCTTAAATTGTGCTAAGGCAGAGGACAAAAGAGGCCCTGCCACCAAGGAGGCCGGAGCGGGTGCCTCTGCTCCTGCCAGGAGGTGGCCATGGAGCCGGCAGCCCGGGGCGGCCCTGTCCCGCTGGCTGAACACTCCGGTGGGGTTAGAGCCTGAAAGAAGAACAGCAGAACCTGAGCCTGCAGGGCTAGGAAATGCACAGCAGAAGTTGATCATTTACTTCCCTTAGCCAAAAAGAAGACCTCAATTAAGAGATCCCTGACTAAACCTAGCTACTGATGCCGCTAAGACATGYGCTTCCTCTCACTCCTTCCAGCATGCCCCTCAAGGAGCCTGGCCCAGCCTGTGCCTCGTTTCCAGTCCCTGACACCCAGTTTCTGCAGTGCAGCTCCTATTTTTGCCTAGATGCSCAGCATGGTGGAAACACACTATAGAGGTGGCAACCATAAGTGCRGAACTAGATCTAATATAAAACCAAATGTGGATAAGAACCCTTGTGGTAATGGTAGTATCCAAGTAAGAGTCTATAACACAGACGCAGGGCTGCCTATAGGATGGACAACCACAAGGATGATGTATAAAATAACCAGAGAAGGTTCTGGAGTTTGGGGAATGGTTTCCTGCAGAATACGAGGAGGACACATTGGTCACCATGGGAAATACGCAGTACAGAGACCTTTAAAGCTTTTGTACCAACTGTGGTATATTTTTGTTTTTGTTTTGCAGGCCATGGCTGTGCTGCTAATCCCTGTGCAGCTGCTGGTGGTGACTGTCACCATTTACTTGGAGCTGGTGAGATCCATCCAGGGTGGTGTCTACTATGGGATCAAGCAGCTGCCACCCCAGGTGCCCCAGTACCAAGCCCTCGGACAACAAGTACCTCACATGCCGCTGGGCAAGGAAGGCATCCCGATGCAGCACATGGGCAAGGAGGTGCCGCACATGCAGTACGGGAAGGAGTATCCCCACCTGCCTCAGTACATGAAGGAGGTCCCACAGATGCCTCTGCTCGGCAAGGACATGGCTCCAAAGAAAGAAAAAGGTAGGTTTGGCACGGCCAGTGCCAGCACTGCACTGTCACATGCATCTCTCTGTCACCCCATTTGCCCTGGGTAAATAAACAGCGTGGGTCAGGGCTGCGAGCAATTTGACACAGCACCAAGCTGATTGCTATCACTGCAGCAACCAGTATTAAAAGTGTTAAAATAAGTATTAAAAGCTTATTTTAATATTTCACCTTGGAGTTTAGGGAAATATTGCAGTTTTGTCCTGACTCTGTGACTTGGAGAAAAAACACACAAAGTGTTCTTTTGAGCATGAAGTTAGCTTTCTGTAGGCTATGTATAGGAGGAGTAACTGAGACACTCATACGGGGTATTGCTGCACAAGTCTGCATTTACACGTATTTGCAGTATTCAGTAAAGGTGGTTTGAAAATTGCTAGAATCTTGAAGAAAACAACAAGAAAGTCCAAAACACAGAGGGATGCTCCTAGTCCTAAAATCCTGGCAGGGATAGAGAGGTCTCCATGACCTAGGGCTTGATTAACTCTTTGCCCTTTTAAGGGTTTTTACCCTTTAAGGGTTTGGAGTAACCGCAGCCTCCGCTGGCCTCAGTGGGAAAGGGAAGAATTCAGGGCCTATTTTTGGAGCTTCTGAACATGTCAAACCCGCCCATTCTGCCAGCAAAGGAGGTTTTTCAATGTGCATAAAACAGAAAACGGGCAGAGAGGGGACGTTTCTGCCTCACAAAGAGCAGTTAATTCTCTGGCTCTGAAACCTCAGCCGTCCCCTTCCCCCAAACTCCTCATTTCTTACTAAAATGGACCAAGTAGAGCTGGAAGAACCAGACTTTCCACTTACCACAGAAACCTGCACTTAGGAAGGCAATCTGCTAATCCCCAGCACAACCGCTCCCGAGCAGCAGCTCCATTACCCTGACCCAAAATGCTAAATGTGTTCACAAACACATAAAACTGTGGATTTGGGTAAAAACATTCTGGTAGCTTAGCAATGCTGGGTAAAGGCTGTAGGTTCCCACCATGATTTTTATATGAACTAAGCCTTGGTGAAAATGCAGTCAAACCTGCATATAACCATCTTGCTGATAAAACCTTATTTAATTGATGAGCCTAATATAAGCCCCTCCATCCAAAGTACTTCCGTGCCAGAACTCCTCCTGTAACAGGAGAGCATCAATCAGCTTCTTTGTCCTTCAAAAATTTTAAAAGCAGATTAATATATACGGCMTGGGATAAAAAGCAGAATGTCCCTAAGTTCAGGGTTTTGTTTCCTAGATGAGGTATTTGATTGGTTGGTTGGTGTGTTGGTTGGGGTTTTTTTTATTATTATTATTATTTCTTAACTTTCTAGAAGCTGTCTTTAAAACTAGCCTGTACAGTGGTAGAAAACAGTGGTAAAAATGAGAGGGCTTTACACAGGAAATAAGCAAAGGTGATGCAAATAATTATCTCATGGAAACAAAAGCATGCATATAAATTTGGGGTATGCAAAACTGTAAGAAGAGCCTCTTCCTCTGAAACATCAGGAGCAGGCTGCTGGCCAGCTCAACATTCCCAGCTCCCACAAAACCAGGAGGTATCACAAGCAGCACAGTTGGCTTAAAATGGCTTTTGTGTTTTTTCAGAAGACGACATTGCAATAACCTTTTGTCTCTCCCCACCTTTTTTTTCTTCTTTTTTTCTTTTCCTCCCCCTCCCCAGAGATGCCAATGCTCAGTTTGAGAGGCGAGCAAGGTCCCCCCGGTGAGCCTGGACCAAGAGGGCCACCAGGGCCACCAGGACTTCCTGGCCACGGAGTGCCAGGAGCCAAAGGAAAACCGGGGCCACAAGGATACCCTGGAATTGGGAAACCAGGTTTGCCTGGCATGCCTGGGAAACCAGGAGTCATGGGGCCTCCGGGGCAGAGGGGAGAGATGGGACCRAAGGGAGAGGTGGGGCCCATGGGCATACCGGGGCCCCAAGGACCACCGGGACCTCATGGACTTCCTGGCATAGGAAAAGCAGGTGCTCCAGGACTGCCAGGACAACCGGGAGCCAAGGGCGAGCCTGGGATGAAGGGGCCTCCAGGAGTCCCTGGCATCCCAGGCCCAAAAGGAGAAAAAGGGGTTGGGATACCAGGTCTACCTGGCTTAAAAGGGCCCCCTGGACTACCCGGCCCCCCGGGCCCGGTGGGACTGCCAGGGGTTGGAAAGCCAGGGATGGTCGGGTTTCCAGGCCCCCAGGGACCCATCGGTAAACCCGGCCCCCCAGGAGAGCTGGGGCTGCAGGGGCCCCCGGGGGTGCCGGGGATCCAGGGCCCACCGGGCTTGCCGGGGGTTGGGAAGCCAGGCCAGGACGGCATCCCTGGCCAGCCTGGCTTCCCGGGCGGCAAAGGGGAGCAAGGCTTGCCGGGACTGCCGGGGCCCCCTGGCCTGCCYGGCGTGGGCAAACCCGGCTTTCCCGGGCCCAAGGGCGAGCGCGGCATGGGCGGCCTGCCCGGCCCCCTGGGACCCAAGGGCGAGAAAGGACACGCGGGGCCCCCGGGCATGGGAGGCCCTCCAGGCGAGCCGGGGCAGCCGGGATTGCCGGGAATCATGGGCCCCCCGGGCGCCGCCGGCTTCCCCGGCCCCAAAGGGGAAGGTGGAGCCATAGGGCCACCAGGCCCCGTGGGCCCCAAGGGGGAGCCAGGTCTGCAGGGCTTCCCCGGCAAGCCAGGTTTCCCCGGGGAAGTGGGGCCGCCGGGCCTGCGGGGGCTGCCGGGCCCCACGGGGCCCAAGGGCGAAGCCGGTCACAAGGGCTTGCCAGGGCTGCCGGGCGTGCCGGGGCTGGTGGGGCCCAAGGGCGAGCCGGGGCTCCCCGGCGCCCAGGGCCTCCAGGGGCCCTCGGGCATCCCGGGCATCGCGGGGCCCAGCGGGCCCATCGGCCCGCCGGGGCTGCCGGGAGCCAAGGGCGAGCCCGGCCTGCCCGGCCCGCCCGGCTTCCCCGGCGTGGGCAAGCCGGGCGCCGCAGGGCTCCAGGGACCACCGGGCAAGCCGGGCGCGCTCGGCCCTCCCGGGCAGCCCGGCCTGCAGGGGCCCCCCGGACCCCCTGGCCCTCCGGGGCCACCCATGGTCATCCCGCCCACGCCACCRGCCGTGGGACAGTACATGCCCGAGGCGGGTCCCGGCGTGGACGGCGTGAAGCCGCCGTACGGCTACGCGGGCAAGAAGGGCAAGAAGCCCCTTGGCGGCGTTGTCTACGAGATGCCGGCCTTCACGGCGGAGCTGCTGACGCCCTTCCCGCGGGTCGGCGTGCCCGTGAAGTTCGACAAGCTGCTCTACAACGGGCGGCAGAACTACAACCCGCAGACGGGCATCTTCACGTGCGAGATCCCCGGCGTCTACTACTTCGCCTACCACGTGCACTGCAAAGGGGCCAGCGTGTGGGTGGCCCTGTTCAAGAACAACGAGCCGCTCATGTACACCTACGACGAGTACAAGAAGGGCTTCCTGGACCAGGCGTCGGGCAGCGCCGTGGTCCAGCTTGCGCCCGGCGACAAAGTTTACGTGCAGATGCCCTCCGAGCAGGCAGCGGGACTCTACGCGGGGCAGTACGTTCACTCATCTTTTTCAGGATATTTATTGTATCCCATGTAAGACAAAACAAAACAAAAAGATCAGACCAAAAGGAAAAAAAAAAAAAAAAAGAAAGAAAAAAATCAAAACCTTTCTTCTCTGCTTCAGTCTTTTATACCATGAAAGATGCATTTAATGACCATTTCGGACCATCTTGTACAAAAAGAATAAATACAAAGTTTAACATTATGCACAGCTAGTTATAAAAAAAAAAAACTGGGGTGAACATATTTAAAGATGTGTATCAGGTTCATAAACAGTCATTTTGTACCCAATGGGGACGTATTAGCTGTACATTATATATTTCTGTGATACCATGCTTACTCCATTTCATTCACAGTAATACAGTACTAAGGTTCAAATCAGTGTATGTCACTCACTCCTGTTGTGTAGCTGACGGACGCATTGATCATACTTAGAAGATGAAAACAGTAACTTAAAATAGAGCAAGTCAGCCTCAAATTACAGGGAGAAATTTGAGTGGCTTTTTATTCTTTTTTTATTTTWTTTTTTTTACAGCCGGACTGCGTGACAAGCAAAGGTTCTCTTAGCTCGAGATCCTTATTTCCTTTCCCCCCATATAAATTTTTCCTGCAGTTTTCTCCTGAACAATTCCTGTGCATTTAGTTGAAATAGATGAGGTAGATCAGAGATAATACTTTCTTCCAAGGGATTCATATTCCTTTTATGCCATGTCATTAAGACATTTTGGCCGACACATGGCAACACAGCAAAGKGGTGTGAATTTGGCTGGATGTCTGTACTTGTGCTAAGAATCTGCAATCTTCTTTCCTTTTAAGAGGGTAGGCATATTCTGCAACTTAGCCAAAATTTAAGTCAGTTTTCAGTGAGTAGCAAAACAGCAGAAGCTGTTTGCTAATTAATTAATTTGTCATTTTGGATTAATGAATATCCTTATCAGTAACACTGGTGATCCAAATTTACCCAAGAACTTCATTTCATGAAAAAGGGTGGTTTCTGATCCATATGTAGTGCGTTTACAAATGTACAAATGTATGTACAAATTACCAGTTTGTCCAAGAGAATCTGCAGGCCTCAAACTTGTCTRTATGGGGGGAAAGCTACTTTTATGCAAGAACTATCTGTTCATAAATGGTGCTAATCTCACCTCGAAAGTGTTAAGATTAATTTAAAAAATAAAAAYAACAGTGTATTTTTCTGTGTTTCCCTGTACAGTGCTGCACATCACACACTGTTATGTTAGTTGAAAAAGTTAAGTACTCATCACTTCTTCAGTGTCTTATCTAATGCTACTGCTTTTGATTCAAAATGAACTAGAATTTTTCATGCAGAACTAAAATTGGATTTAACTGGCATTACCATTATTTAAATGCAGAGTTTAATGCAGTCTAACATTGACCAAGGACTCCAGTGATATAATGTGGTGCTCGAGCTCCGAAATTTTGTGGAACGTTGGCAGGAATGGACAGTTTACCAGACATTGGTGACTTCAGTATGTTTCCAGAATATATGAGATATGTCGAAAGCAAATAATTTTGTATTTAAAATTTTTGTACTGATTTGAAGAAAATATCTTATTAAATATCTTTAAAAAAAAATTGTCTCCTCATTGAGCAGAATGGCTGAAAGATCAAACCACAGGAACCCTCTGCATCCATTAAACATAGAAAAGGAGTGTGGGATGGGGTGGAGGGGGCCTGCAGAGGTGTCCTAAGTGTTGGCGCTCCCCAGAGGTGCTGTTGGCTGCACCAACCAGGAGCTGTGCATTGTGTTCCTGACTTGCCCTATGCTTTGCAAACAGCTTTTCTTGGTTTTCCTCTGGCTTTTTTCCACCCCTATCGAGAAGCTGGTGTCAAAGCCACAACCACTCTGTCTCTGACCTGCCCCGTGGCTCCCCACGGTGTGGGCCCCCCGGCCTCCCCTCCAAGTGAGGCACTGCCTGCAAGCTGCATGAACGTGCCCAATACCCACACATGGCAGGCGGCATCCTCAGCCCCTCTGAAGCCAGCGGCTACACAGCCCCTCTCCTTCTCACTTTGACAGGGCAAGGGGAGAGAAGACAAAGCATCACAACAGGACAAGCAGCATCCCTYGCCTGGTCCCCATCTATTCTTTTGCATCACACACCATTTCCTCTTTTAAAAGTCTCCTAGCATTCTGCTGAATGTTTCCAGTAAGAAAGGTAAGATTAAAAAACATTGCTATCAAGACCATGTTGATATATATCAAGAGGATGCTCTTGGTTTTACTCACGCATAGACATCCCAGCTTTTACTCAGCTTGGAGTGATGTTTGTTCTCGCAGCACAGCTCAGCCTACCTGGACTGAAAGATTTTTGGTCCCATTTGCCCTGCTCACTGCAAAAGTTAGCTCGGAAACTTGATAACACATCTAACAACAGTGTATTTACTTCACATACCGCTAATAATGGGCCCGGACACACACGCATAACTGACCTTGCAAAAACAAGCCCGAGGGCAACATCTTTAAGACAATTTATTCAAATAAAAATGATCTCTTTCCACCTGTAACAATCAGAGTTTCACTTGAAACAACCTTTGAGAGTATCTTCAAAATACAATTTGGCACTTTAAAGGTGTATAAAACTTAAGACAAATGGCAAATAAAATAAGTATTAACTTCCACTGAAAACAGATGTCAAGCCTCATGTGTCCTTAAAATCAGATTCTACTTAAAAATTAAGATAATTATACTACCCCCTCAGGGCATTTTTAAAAGAAAAACAGTGTAAGAAATGAGGTACCCCTCATTGATTACTAAACACCAAGTCTGTGACCCCRTTTGAGCATCAACAGTTACTGGAAATATGACTTAATATGATCTTTTAGGCACTCTAAGATTCACACTTAGTGCAATAACTTGTGGCTAATCTTTCTTATCAGGACTTCCCTTAAATATCATAGCAGAGGAAATGAAATACTTTTCTGACAGCACAAAAAAAAAAGAGAACACCTAAAAGTCTGAAACAACAAAATGCTTAGTCAGTAGACATTTTCCTGCTGATTTTAAGTGTAATGCAGTAACTTTGGGCTGGGTCTTTGTGATGGTGCAGCACTTTGGGAGGGAGAGGGTGGCAGATAAAATACTGAAGCATCTTTGACTGTAAGATTCCACTGACTTGACATTCAGCAGACTGCTGGAGAACAGGAAATGAGGGGAAAAAAAGGGAATTGGTCTGTCTGACTTCATGGCTGATACAGAAAGATACCTAGGAGATACCAGGCACCTAACATAGTTTTCTGTTCACAGTATCCTGGAATACAAAATTTGACYGCTTTGCTACTGATGTTGTGATCAAAATAATGGACAGTTTTTAAAGGCAAGTTTCAGTGCAGAGACTTTACCTTCAGGACTGTGAAAATGGAAAAAAAAAAAAGAAAGTCTTAGTAGCAACCAACTCTCAGAAAAGACCAGAGTATTTGGAGTTAGCGTTGAGGATTTGGAGTTAGCGTTATTGCTTTTTCAGTAACAGTCCCAAGGCAAATCTTTGGTTCTGMAAAATGATTTTGAAAATGTGTACTCAGGTAAAACAGACATCATCAACTGCAGGCATGATTGAAAAACACATTATATAAAAGTGATACCTGTCCTCAGGCCAGAATAGCAGAAATAATCATGTGAAGTGTAAGATGCTGATGAAGCAGGACTAGTGTATACAGAAACCCATCAAAACATCTTACAGAGGTTAGTAAAAATAAATCAGTTAGCTTAAAAAAAACCCCTAAAAACTACCAGCTTGTAAATGAGGCTTTCAAAAGACACTACCCTACAGTTTATGACCAATTCCTGGCTCAGGTTCAAGTGAATATGTCTGTCTAAGCGTTACTCAAAAAGTCCCTCTGTGACACTGACTTCGACATGTGCAGACTTTGTATTCCTGCAGGAGCAACAGAATTGGGATGGGAGGATAAATAGGTGTCTCCATTAAAAACAGGGAAGTTTAAGAAACATAAAAAAAATAGCCAAGAGGAATAAATGCCTGTAGACAGCATACTAAGTACATTGGGAAAGTATCCCCCCACCCCCTCCAAAAAAAAAACAAAAAGGAAAAAGAAAATCCCAACCCTTACATACCTAAAAGAGCTGATGCAATGAATAAAGGAGACCAACTTAAGTAAAAAGAGCTTGCAGGCACAACTCGTTTGGAGACACAAATTAATTTTGCTGAATTATTTTGTGAGGATTCTAACTAAAACAGAGCAAAATGAAACAAAAATGCAGAAAACTTCCCTAGGAAAGAAACAGAATGAATTGGTAGTTTAACGGGAAAAATAAAAATATCTGGAGCAGTAATAACTCAGAGGAACTCCCCACTTCTTGGAGAGTACAGCTCACTACCCGCTGCTATTCTGCAACAGGCAGCACCAGCCCAAGAGCCAGCCACTCTGAGGGCAGGGCTAGTTGAATAGCTCTCCAAGAAAACACAGGCAAACACACACAAAAATCCCAGTTAACCCCCTGGGCGAGGCTGTATGGATCTGCCCACACGGTTTGGTGTGGCCACTGGCAGCAGAGAGCTCTGGAGCCCTGGGAGCATCGGGGAGCTCCACTCTGCGAGGAGGGACCATGAGTGTTTTGGGGAAAGCTGGAGCCCTCTGTCTGGCCTGTTGRGAGATGCACCAGGGACCTGTGTGTCAAGAGAGCTCCGTCAGCACCACGGCCTCTGAGAAAAGCCTTAATGTTCTTTTCGGTTTCAGTTACTATTGCCAGCAGTCTAAACCACTGCAGTTCTGCTCCTGTATAATCACATATGAACTTTTTCTAGTTAACTGAAGCCACCACCAGAAATAAAGACTGGTAAAGCTAAGAACAAGGCTGTGTGTTATCTGCTGCTATTAAAAAGACCTATTTGTATTCAAAATTTCAAGGAAAGACCTCCTCAAACCACAAAACATGTATGTTGAAGAAGGAGAGGAGGAGAAGGAAGGGGGGAAGAAGGACAGGAGGGGAGGTAGGGAGGGAAAGAAATCAAAAAAAAAAAAAAAATTGGACCAGAAAAACTGCCCTTCAGTCACTTTGTAAGGAAATCCTGGTCTCTTCCACTTCACCACCACCATCCAGTTCACCCAGTGCCTTCCCCCAGCCCAAGGAGAAGCAATTCTGGTGTTCCTGCTCCAGCAGAAGCTGTGCCCAGGGAACGATGCATGGTCATGCCCGGGGGCCCCACATTCCCTGCATGCTCAGAGTTGCTGCACTCAGGGCACAGCCCACGCTTGGGACCCATCCCTGCCACCACTTATGACACCGCGTAACTTCAGGTATGTCCAATTTGCTTGGAACAGGCCAAAGTTCAGCAACCAAAAGGTGAAAACATTAAACAGCCACACAACCTCCTCTCCTCCAGCTGCGAATCTCCCTTTCCAAGTCACACTCAGTARTTCCCAAACCGCAGAGCAAATTCACCAAAAGGGAGGTGAAGAGAACTACAGGAAGTTTCTAAATACCTCACACACCCTGCAAGAAATAAATAGGGAAAGGTAAGATGACTCTTTAGTCCCTTCAGTGCTTATTTCTTGGCCCTGGCACAGTGGGTAAGTTGTGCTCAGCACTCCTATGCCTGGCCTGCTAGAGGTTCAACTGCTTACACTGCTCCCAAAGGTACTAAAGCTGTCGATATCAGTAGCTGAGGTTATTCTACCAACTTCAARGATTTTTTTTTTTTGAAGTTTGTGCTGTCTTGATCAGAACAATCACAAGATCTTCATACAAACCTGCCACGACAAAAAGAAAAAAAAATCTCTACACTATAAGATTAAAGTAGCATATTACTTGTTCATTGCATCTGTGATAGCCATCGAGGACATTGCCAGGCTGATTTAAATTCAGATATTGAGTCATCAGTTTGCCTAAGACAAATCTATTCAGGAAACATAACTGCTCCATTAAGTAGTTCAACTTAAACCCCAGATACATTCCCACTGCTAAGTGGTTTAGTTCAGTCACAACCTTTAAACACAAATATCAAGACAGAGGAGAGGTAAACAGGAGTCAAACGGTAATTCTGCTGTTGTACATCATAGATATTGCCTGGCATATACCACTAAAAAAACAATGGGGACATTCATTGTTCATATTGATGTGTTTCAAAGCTAGAAATGTATTGCATTATCTAAAAGTGAGACCACGCTGGTATAAAAAAATCTATCTTGATTCTTGGGGAGAGAGAAGATGCACAGAATCCTGTTGTGGAGATGTAGGAATCCAACAAACTTGATCTCTTAATTTAAACTCAAGTGTGAACTTCTCAGCTCCAGCTCACATTCCTGTTGTGGGCTGAGGAAAGTCACAGCTCCACAGATGCTATTAAGATAAATCTTCAGTCTTCACACTTACTCTCTTCAAAATCAACGCAATAATTGTAGATTTTACTGGACACAGTAAAGGAGGAGTATATTTTTCCATAGGCAGGTTCAACATGAGCATAGCAATATCAACATTGCCACACGTCAGATTGGGGGGTCTTCAGCTCTGGCTGATGTGAACAGTAGTTCGGAGCAGCTGACCAGGTCAGGCTGTAGCTGCTTTGCTGGAGATGGATGCCCTCTCCTCAGGAGCTGGGCAGACTAAAATCCGTAMACTCTGCACATCCCCCTGCTCTTCAATATACAGTAATAGTTTATGGACATTGCTTTTAAAGCCACTTCCATGCTACAAGAAAGAGATTCAAGACTTTACATCCGTCTACTATTTAAACATCAGTCTTCTCAGTCTTTGGACAGTGTAACTCTTTTAGAGGACGACATCAGAAAGGAAGATATTCCAAAGGAGTAACCATTTGGAAAAAGTTCTTACTGATAAATAAATGATGCAMATCACATTTTTTATACATCCCTGATACTTTTAACTGAAAGTTTCATGTGTTTTTCATTATTAAATAGTTTCACAGAAATTCAGGTAACTCTGTTTGCAACAGCCCGTTATCCTCAGCCTAAGAAGGAGCTTYTGCCTGGAGAGGTTTCTGTGCTCCTTTTAAACAGTAAACAGTTACACTGCACTTAAAAAATAAAAATATCATACAAAAAATAAAATTTGTTGAAATCTTGAAAGTAGTGATTGTTCTTCATATTTTCCGTTCAGCTTTCACGTCAAATTGACCACAAAGTTCTTGTCTATAAGGTTCTTCAAAAATTTCTGTTCAGCATCAATGTTATGGTATTCATTCTGAAGAAATATAAGAGAATAATAAAAAAGAAGTTAAATTCAGATTACTACCAGAAGCATTACTTTTTTGCTTTCCTTCCCATTTCCTGTGTTACTTGGTTCTCCAAGAAATATAAGGATGGGAAGACTGAGGAAGGGACTTGTAAGCATGGGCTGCAGTACAGTCTCCCARGGAAATTGGTGACACTGTTGCTCAAAGCTAGACTAGGCTGTAAGGAAGAGGACSGTCTCTCAGGGGCAGGAAGGGAGTAGACATGCTCTCACAGAAGGGCCTTCACTAGTAAATGTCCCAACTGTGCTAACAGGAGGCAGCTGCATCACCACATTTACAACACCAGGAGTCAGAAAATGACCAATCCTCAAAGCTCCTTCCAGGTTCTTGAAGAGCAGACAGCAGACATTTGTAGAGCAGATGTGCCTCATCACACAGCTGTTGCACACCAGGATAAAATCAACCCATTTTCCATGTTCCCTCACATAAGATCCTAAATACAAAAGACCACTGAAGTAAATGATTTCCCCCAAGATACAAAGAATGTTTCTACCAAAAACCCATGTGAAAGGTCCTGCCTCAAGTGAGTTTGCTGAAAGTCTTTATACACAGAATGCAATAACTTAAAAGGAATGCAATACAAATACTGCCTAAAACACTACAAACAATTTATAAAACACATGATATTAGGATTCATTAGCAACACRTGAGGGGCTCCTTTGGACATTGTACCTCTCCATCCTCTGCGGGAAAGAGAGGAGAAAGAAAACAGCCCCATAAGGACCCAACACATTCAAGCTCTCAGCACATGGAAGAGAAAACAGTGCTCAGGCTGAGGTAAAAGGCCCAGAGGAAAACGCTAGGAGGACAGAACTGCAGGCAAGAGCAGAGAAAAAACTGTAGGGAAGTAGGAGCCCTTTGCCCAGAGTTAGGAGAGGACCTTCTGCTGCTCCATCCCTGCTTGAGCTGTGGCTTCCTCCTCCTGGAATCAATTTTTTTCTACCAAAACCATCCTCAAAGAGCTGCTTTTCTTTTCTCTTTTCCATTTCTGAGTTCAGTCCTTGTCCTAAYTGTAAGTTTATGGGTCTTCTTTCTTTCCCCTTAGCTATTTTCAATGAAATTTGGTATCTATGAATACTTTTGCCTGTAGCTACCAAAGAGAATGCAAATATGGACACTGCTTATTTGTGCTCTGACAATGCTAGCAAATATGCTTACATAAAAAGAGCCACATAGCTTAAAAAAAATCAGTAAGGCAAAACAGAATAGACAGATGGACGAAAGTAATGTAGACATTATAGAATAAGATGTAGCACTTAATGTTCAAATCAACTCAGTAGCCTCTCCACAGCTCACCCAAATAAATGTTTGTTAACCACATTTTTTTWAAAAAAAGAGATGAAACTCAAGCAATATTAGCACGTGAGCAGCATATCCTAGAAGACCACAGAGCTTTCTAATCTGCAGTCCACGTTTTTTCTTCTAAATGCATTGCCTTACAGCCAACAGTTATATTTTGCTAAGCAGATCCCTCAGCACGAACCAACGCCCGTTACCTGCATCATCTGAGACATCGTGTCATTGCCGTAGTAGTGCAAAGAGCTGTTTCTGTCAGCAAAGTCGTACTTGAAGCCTGCCAGGTGAACTTCGTGGCATATGTGAAAGGCAAGCGTGATGGCGATCAGGCCCGTCGTCGGGTGCTTGGGTTTCTACGACGGAAGCAGAGGAACCAGCGCACACATGAAATGAACACCCGCCACCTGGCAAGCCCCACAACAAGGGCAGGGGTGCTCGTGCAGCCGAGCTCTCCTAAGACGYCTGGCTTTCAGGATGCATCCCTCAGGGCTAGTAGGGAGTTAAAAGCTGCCAGTGGCTTCCCCACAACCCGAGCACCTGCAGTGTCGGCCTTCCCTGGGACTCTCTTCCTAATAATTGCTGAGCCCCTGCTCTAGACTTTCCCTTGCTGAGGCCTGAGTCAGGCCTCCCCTCTGCTTAGCAACTCCCTACGCAAAACTTCAGTCAGACTCAGTACATTGGAGACCGTTTCCCCTCTCTCAGACCTGACTGAGTTAGCAGAAGGGTTTAGTAAAGGGTTCGACAGTTTCTAGGTGATGGAGACAGATGAACTGAACAATGTGACATGTCCCATTTCGTTATGAAACCAGACTGAAAGCCATGAGTGCTGCTGCTGCTAACTTGCCTATATTTGAACTTTCTCAGAGCAGGGAAATTCCAAAAGAATAAACTTTCCCCTGCTATTTTCACTAGGAAAAAAAACCAAGAAAATGCAGATAAAGCTACTTATTTCTCCATACAGCAAGCTAGTTCAGAAGTAAATGCAAAGTAAGATATCAAGAGCAGGTCATAAACTATTTTAACTGTGCAAAACTGAGAGCATCTAAGTGAAAAACAGTATTTCTTGTAAGAGCAAACAACTGTAACAACTGCAATYATTCATCCTACCTAGTGATTCGTCCTACCTAGTGATTAAAACCTTGCTGTTTTAACAGCAGTTAAAATGATCTAAGAAGCAAATGAGGTAAAGTCTGTTAGAGGAGATGATCAGTTTCATTAGACCAACTGATTAAAATGAGAGAAAAAGAAATCCCAGAAATTGACAAATTTTCCAGACACAGATCAAAAAACTCAAATATTTCTAGTATTTGGAGTTAATCCTCAAAACTATGCAAAAAAATCATGTGCTTTTTGGGGAATTTTTACTACTGATTCTGCACACAGGAAGATGAGCTTGATGACGCAAATAGGTATTTTTTTGTATCATATGACAAAGCAACAACTACCCAAGAAAGAAATAAAAATCCACTTAAAAACTGACAGATTGACTCTGTGGTTTAATTAAGTTTACAGAGCCGCTGTTAATAACTTTTTCCTTTCTTGGGTAGTTGTTGCTTTGTCATATGACAAAGGCCAAAAGAAATAAAAAGGCCAAAAGAAATAAAAAAGGCCAAAAAAGAAATAAAAATCCACTTAAAAACTGACAGATTGACTCTGTGGTTTAATTAAGTTTACAGAGCCGCTGTTAATAACTTTTTCCTTTTTTGGCCTTTTTACATTATCCAGAGTATGCAAAAAACACCCATGTAAAATGTACCTAGTTGCCCAAGGGCTCTGCTGATCAGTAAAATAACTTTCTGCCTCTGATGACCAACATCATAAACTTTGTCATGCACCTGTCACAATGTCTGCACTATACAGACATTACTATAACTACTATATTAAAAATTACTACAGGAATGCTACATGTCACAATCAGTGTTATCTGGAATTCTGAGGAAAATCACAGGTTGCAAAGAGCTCTGTCCAACTTTGACTTTCACATGCATTTGGTTCACCTCAAAAGAATATATTTTTAAGAAAGCAAGACTCCTTTTAAAAGAAATGGTCATTCTTAAAGCATGCTGCTTTGTCCACATAAACCCTAGACGGAAGCAAGTGGAACATGGTGGGCGTGCAAAGATGATCAGAGCCCTGTGATTCTCTGCTCTGGCCCTGGGCAGGGGCRCTCAGTGAGCAGGAGAGGAGTGGAGAGCTCACACTTCCCCACGGAGCCTGAGGTGCCTGAGGCCTCCACACCCCCATGGGGACACTGCACATGGGTTTGGCTCACCCACCAATGATTTGACTTTACCTCCCACTGAAGAAGGAAAACACACACACAGAGAAAGACAGAAGGGTCTGGTGCTCCAGGATTCATGAAAGCCGTGGGCATTCATATCCCCCTTTGGCAGATCATTAGGCTCCCAAATACTCTTGGGGTTGTGTTTTCCCCACCCTCACTTGAAGAGCTGAAGTACCACAGAGCCTTTGCAGGCATGCAGCTGAATTGGGAAATCGAGTTCAAGAGTCAATAAGGGAGACAAAGGCACTAGCAGTCCCAAAAAAAAAAAGAAGCTAAAAAAAGATCCACATATCAAGAAACACCTCGGGAAAAAGAAAAACAAAACAACTCCCACAAATATTAGAAAGATTAAGCCAGAGAAAGAAGGTCCACCCCGTGGCGAGAGCTTTGTCTGAAGTTTCCATGTGTGTCAGTCACTGAATCCTGATGAACAGGATAGAGAACACAACTGTATCTGTACAAGCATTTATACTAAGTGATGCATGGCCAGGTCTGGACTACACGCAGGAAGTCTCCACCTTGAAGTCTTGCCTTTCATCAAATATATCCTTGTCAGAAACTAACAGCAGAAATATGTTCTTGTTAATCAAATAGTTGATTAGTGCATTACAAGGCTTGGCAATAAATCAGCAAGCATAAGAATGATGTTAGACATCACCATGACAAGGCTGGAGTATCCTGCACGATCCCCATTCCTTAACCCCACACACCACAGCAGGGTGAAAATGCAGCAGGGTGAAAATTCCAGTCTTTCAGAATTTCTTCTTTGTTGTTTTTTAAATTATATTTAATAATTCAAGATTTGTTAATATTTATAGAGGCTCTTCAGATCTGCTATGCTCCATAGTCTGTTCAATTTTTCAAATTTTGTAAAAGGGATTATTTCAGCCTACAAGTGCCGTCTTATGTCATATTAATCATAGAACCCGTAAAGAGAGATTTTTTGGTATATAAGGCTACACTCCACTTTCTTTCTGAACTATTTTTTCCTTACTTCTTCTAAGTATCACCTGAACCCAAACTCATGCAGCATGAATCTAAAAGACGTTCTAACACAGTCTATTATAATGAAAAGATAATGACTTCTGAAGACACATTTGGTTGCACTTAACTAAAAGCTTAATGATAAAAGGAAAAAACCTACCTCCTTTTTGGGAAACCTTGTTGGGAAGTGAAGCCACTCATATGCAGCTTTTCTAGTGATGCTGGGATCAAGTATCCTGATTTGACTGGATTTGTATATCATGTTCAAAGCTGGTTTCTTCCAAAAGCCTTTAGCACTCTGCAACAGTCAAGTAAATACACATTTTCAAATTTTATAAATTATTTTGATTTTGTAGTTTTTCTAGATCTAAACCAAAATGTAATCCAGGCACAATAAGTTGAGGAGTAAAATGAAAGTTGAACCACCTGAAGTTCAATAAATGCATACGCCAAACTGTGTTCCTCCAGTAAAATAATTCCACACAGCCATACAGGCCTTGATGGACAATATGCTCCACCAGTGTGCCTTCAAGGCACTGAAGACTAATTGCATAGTTGGCCACATTAGCAAGAGCATAGCAAGCAGGTAGAGAGATGAGATCATTACTTAAGTACTCAGCCCAGCTGTGTCTCAAAGTACTGTTTTGGGCTCCCCAGTACAAGAGAGACACTCAAACTGGGGCCAGTTGCACAGAAGGCCACTAAAACACCGTAGGGACTGGAGCACATGACCTGCAAGATGGGGCTGAGGAGGCTGTGTTTGTTCAAGCTGTCTTCAGTCATCTGGAAGGGGTAAAGAAGAGGCTGAGACAGGCTCCTCTTGGAGGTGCACTGTGAGAAGGTGAGAAGTTCTACCTCATGAGGATGGTGCATATCGAAACAGGTCCCCCCTCAGAGAGGTTGTGGAAACATCCCTGGTGATATGCAAAACTTGCCCAGAGGAGGCCCTCAGCAACCTCATCTGGTTTTGAAGTTGGGTCCGTTTGAGCATGGAGTAGGGCTAAAGATCTCCAGAGAAAAACACCTTCCAAGGTTGCTATATGCTTCCACCAAGTGGAAGGGCTAGAGCATGAGCACCAAAATATGAAACAATGCTAGGAAAAATAAAAATAAAAATAAAAATAAAAATAAAAATAAAAATAAAAATAAAAATAAAAATAAAAATAAAAATAAAAATAAAAATAAAAATATGTATTCCCAGGAAAAAAAAAAAACACTTTAGGATAAAGAACTGAAACTGTGGGGCAAGAAAGAACATAGAAGCATACGATAAGAAAGAGAAACTGCGCAGACTGGTTGGGAAATCTGCTGCTCCTCCCAGGTCGGGTAACTGAAGTTAAATGCTGAACAGATATATTACATGCAAGAGATACGTGGCAAGCCAAGCCAAAGTGCATAAATAATTTAACTCACTATTTTCTGACCACTTAATATCTCCCAAAGCCACTTTAAATCTCGTGTTTTGAAGACAATGAGAACAACAGTCGTATTAGGATCATAGTGGACTGGATCCGAGAAGATGGATTCCGGATAAGAAAGGCGGAACGTGGTCCTCCTCCCGACATCCTCTTCGTACCCTATAACAGGACCGTTATTCATTCTGCAGAGGACACAGACACAGAGATGGCAGTGACTACACCACACACCCATTCTCACTGTGCAGAGGTCTATAAGGTTGGCAGCACGTGGAGGCACACGGGGAGGTTGTAGCACAGCATTTACCACCTTACAAGATGGGTGAGCAATTAGGAGATGCCTCCTGCACCTGTCTACTGACCCAGAGGCATCGAACACCTATGGGAAGTTGGCCAAGATGGCTTGGAATACAATTACGTGATGGCTTATCCCATATCACTTGCACAGGGAGCCTTCTGGCTTGGGCTGTAATGCAGAAACCACAGAAGACTGAAGAGCATCTGTCTTGGAGAGTTACGGATTGTTCCGTTCATGCCTCCAGATGATCCAAAACCATTCAAGAGGCCATCCAAGAATGTTTTAATATTCTTCACTGTATACATGGGGGCAGAGATTATGACCGTTTACCTGATACAACTGTGTGTGTGTGCACACGCATGTACACATATGTCTATATACATGTATAAATGTATGTATAGATATGAAAAAGCAAATGTGCACTATACGTTACATTAATAATAATAATAATAATAATAATAATAATAATAATAATAATAATAATAATAATAATAATAATAATAATAATAATAATAATAATAATAATAATAATTCAAAGAGCTTGTTTGCATTATTTTACTCTGGGGAAAAGTACTGTGATGTTTTTTACCTTTTTTTTTTTTGGTGGGGAGGGGCGGAAATTATAAAGCTGCCATGCACCTAAAGGTTTCTAAAGAGGAAGATTTTATGTGGATCACTTTATGTAGTTTCAAGTTTGGAAGAAGAGCTACAACTGAAGAATTCCACTTCAGCTTATCAGCAGGTATTTAAAAACATGTCATATTCTAGGTTTCAGATAAAGGCTTTTAGTGCTTCTGTTTGAATACTGAAAAGGTATTATGAAACAGCATRACAACTGATGGCAAAGCAACAAAAACAAGGTTCACGCAATCTTGAAATGGAAAAACTGAAGTGGCAGCAGAGAAGTTCTAAAGAAAGGAGAGCTTAGGGTGCCAGGTATGCTGCCTGACAGGATACCTACAGGCAGGAGGGCTGTTTAATCGCTTGCCATCTCAGTTTATGCAGAAGAGGAATCGTGTTTTCTCTCATTACACAGGAAACTTGTCTGGGAYCAAGGGGCAAAGAGAGGACTTGAGGCTATCACATGCTCAGATGCACCTCTGATAATATCACCTTGCAGGTGCATATCTGTAGGCTAAGCGGGCTGCACACCACCCAGGGTTCACTTCTCCCCCATATCAGTGCATGTAATAACACTGATTTTTTTCTACATTATTTTTAAATGAACCCTTGAAAGAGTAAATAATAAAACAATTTTCAAGGAATTTTCATCCATTTCATGTATATTAATAACAGAACTACTACTGTCTGAAAACAAATGCTTGCCATTCTCCATATGTACAAAAATGAAAAGGAGAAATGTTATTACCTTATTATCACATCGTATGAGTCAATTTTCTCTCCTAATGTCTTATTTCGAAGTACTCCTCCATTACCAACCACAACACACCTTCGACAGGCAACACTGTAGATAGAACAAGCAGAACTTTAAGGCCCACCATTTCACTTAGATCATTAATATCAATGTTGACGCATCGATATTAGGGGCACTTAGTTGATTTGACTGAACCATAAAAACTTATTTAACTGTGTCACTATGAAGAAAGTGCACGTTATTGGGAAATAACCGGAGGGATAGGCTTGATAAACAGCTGCATTTGCACATGACAAGATACAAATTAGATAGCATTACTAAAGATCTAAAACACTTACAGGGAGCTATAAATTACGTCTTATAATACATCCAATCAAAATAACTAATCCTTTTGAATTTAGAAAATATATTTAGAATATATAAACAAATAAATTGCACATGGGAGTACTCCATAAATGAAAATGCTAAACCCATGCGATGGATGCCATCCTGTACAGCGTGCTATAGGTGACCCTGCTGGAGCAGGGGGGTTGAAATAGACTATCTCTAGGGGTCCCTTCCAACCTCAACCATTCTGTGATTCTGTGAAATTCTAATGTTAAAGTCCTTTGATGAGCTGTCCCATGTCTTCTAGTTGTCTCCTTCACTCTACACTGCTTTATTTGAAAGCAAGCTAGTAAAATGCCTGTCTTGCTTTTGCAAAGAGAGCAACCAGGGCTTGCTTACTCCAGAATTTTGGCTCCTCGGGTAAATTTTACATCCAGTATGAAAGACTGCAAGCTCCTCCTTTCTAGCACAAGTATTGTGATTAAAAAAATGTGTCTTTTAAATTTTGAGCAAAAGCTGTTTAATGGCTTGGCTGCACTAAGAACGCTGGCCAAGGAAAAACGTTGGTRTTCTGTTCAGGCACATTTGCAGCTTACTGAGCATGAATCCTCCTCAACATCCCATTCACAAGGCTCTTCAAACAAGAAAAGGGCTCCATGTTGTTTCTTACCATAAGGGACCAAGAGATGAAGTAATAGCAAACACTGGAGCCTGTATCAAATGCCTAGTGCTTCCTCCTCAGATAGTCTAGTTTGCTTCAGCTTTACTCAACACAATGGAAAGGGCCTGTTCCAGCCCAGACTGACCAACAGCCCAACCCACCATGCAGTCTTCTCACTTTGCAGCAGAATTACTAACTTAGTCGTGGCCCCACTGCATGTGGGCTATCTTCTCTCTTTATTCCWGGATGGCTCTAGACTATTCATTTTCCAATTTTCCAGATTTTCAGTCTAGCTTTAAAATGTCCCRAGCAAGTACACAAATGAACATATACATACTGAAACATTTATGGTGGGAGGAAGGGAAAAGAAATAATCCTTTTCCTGAATTATGCTGCATTACTCACCCCTATACCACAGAGTTCAAAGCAAGAACCTGGCTCTATGAAAAAAGAAAAAACAGTAAAGAGGAAAAAAAAAAAAAAAGGAACGGGGAAAATGTGGACAAAGAGAGTAATCAGTAAGTGGTGAGGACAGAATGAGGGAGAGATGTGAGAAACAAGCTCTCCTGCCTTATTGACTGATACAGTCAAGCCTTGTTCAGGACTTAAGAAGTTGACTAATACTACTTGTAGAGAAATACAGTGAAACACTTGACAAAGCTTTTAAATTCCAGCCCCCTTCACATTTTTAACTGGTTTGTTATTATCAACTGCCCTCAAATAGCCAATAAAGCATCTAAGATTGGTATGTGATCTTTTGAAAAAGTATCAAAGTGGACAAGCAGATTAAATATACTAGATGCTGAACATAGTCAAACAAAGTAAAGAGACCACCTTTTAATCTCTGTCAAGCTCAGGAAGTCAGATAATGCCACCTCCAACAGGAAATCTCACATTAACATCCTACTTCTGCATTATTCCTCTCCCCTAGCCACACACCCGTCTCCAGTTACAGTAGTTGAGCCTATGTCTGCAATAGCATAGGTCCTGCCATTGAAGATAAGCAGCAAAGGAATTTTTTTATGCTAGAAATGTATAACATTTCATGTACATTTGTGGGCTAGGTGTAACCACACCAAAAACCAGACCATAACCTCAAGGAAACCTAGGTATGAAGTGGAGATAAAGGATATGTAGCAATATAAAAGATAAGTGGAAAGATAAGTGAACTTTAACAGAGCAAAGGTCCAGCTTACAACCACCAGCACAATATTTAAGAGGAAAAGAAGTTAAGACTTTAACTGTAACAAGGGAAGATGCATTCTCATCACGCAATTTAAATCAGGACCTGTATATATCCTAAATWTATCTCAAAATCTAAGCGTAAACCCTTAGTCACTCCTTCAAATCTTTGTCCTAGGTCGAGCCGCATGAAAGAGCCTCTTAATTAGAAGGCAAAACATCATTTTGCTTATTGTGTTTATGGTGAAATACCAAAGAAAAGCTCTCCTGCCCATATAAAAGAAAAATATTGTTAAGTGGAAATGTAGCCTTTAAAGGTCAAAAAGCTAACGTCTTCCACATTCCACTGAAACACGGTTTCTTGGAGGGAGTATTGTGGGGGGAAGATCTGGACTCCAACTCTTTCAACACTCCCCATTCTCCAGTAGCCTCCCGAGGAATGCAGAGGTCACATCTTGTTGACTTCCTATTGTGTAAATGCATTGGGGGGGAATTCACTGGTGATAAGCTTAGAGTCTTAAGAGCTCCTGTTGAGTACACATGAGGAAATAGGGGAACTGGGAGTTCAATGGGTATTTGATGGATCTACACCGCTATACTGGAAAAGCCTTCTCCTGCAAGCAATTCCACTGAATCAATGACACAATTCACTCCAGGTAGGTTTCCAAAGCTGTACTTTCACCCAGTAAGAATCCTATCTTTCTTTGGAAACCTGCACCGTTTTAGGAAGAAAGATCCTTTATAGTTTGCTGTGTATTTTTATGGATGTTGCAAACTAATCTAGTTCATGCACATATATTTGACATTCATGAAAATACTTCAAAGCAGTTTCCCCCMCACACACACACTTAATACTAAGTTTACAGGGAAATTCAGTTTATATTTCTCTTCTGCCAATAAGAGGAGGTTGCAGCAATACAGAACTGCCTAATAACAGAGCAACAGAACTRCAGGAGTATTTTGCTAGGATTATTTCCCCAAGAGCTTCCTACTGTTAAATCATTGTATTTCAGTTATGTGTTTATAATTATATTAAAAAATTCTTTCTTTCTACAGTGATTCATGCCCTATCAATGCTATAGAAGTCTAATAATGGRTAAGAAGAATATATCATATGAAGTCATTGTACTTTTGATTCATTTAATCTCCTGCTTTTAATTAAATGCTAAGAGTTCTCATTTTGCTTTTGTACTACTAAAGCATATTACTTTTATTAAAAGGAAGCATCTCTCAGAACCACTAAACATATCTATATCTYGAATGGAGAACCTACATTCAAAAGATAAGAAACAATCACTTTTTGATCTATAGGAATTATTTAAAAGATTTTATGTTGTACGACAAGGTTATTCACTTTGCAATCAAATTGATTATAGCACTGAACTTATGATGTCAATGAATTTCTAGCACATTTGCCATTCTCTTTCTTCAAACTTCAGACTAGCCTCATCTTTGTAGGCCACTTCTGTATAAACTTGCTAATTTTCACAGTCCCGACAGAGGGTAGTTCCTTGCTGKTTTTTGTATTGTTTTTAACTTAATAAGAGTAAAAGTGAACTTACTAGATTAAAAGAGTAAACACATGGAAAGGAAGGTGTACAAGAGGTGGAGAAAATAATAACTACTTCCCTACTTCCTACCCCACCAAAAAAACACTTGGGTTGGACAGGAAAGCTACACATTAAAGACAAGATAAGTCCTATTATTTTGTTCATGTTCCAACTAAGTTTAATTAAAATGTGAACCTTGCATTTGACCTGAGGCATTATGTTCTGTTTGATCTCCTTGATTAAAATAGCCATGTATGGCCAGCCTCATCATTATTTGCATCCAGCTCTTAGGTATGCCGCCTATTAACATGATATATGGTAGGTTCTCAATCCACGAGCTACAAATCTAAAAAGCCATTTGCATCACTTGGTAAACACATCATCTTAGTATATTTGCCAAGCTTACTGCCCTACCTACAAAAATAAATACATCAAAAGCCTGAAAGAAGTGGCTTCTATCCAAGAGATTTAAACAGGACAACGTAATAAATGGCAAGTGAGTTATCTAGGGCGTGCTCCATTCTGTGCTACTCTGCACAGATACAGCCACAATCTGATGACTGCTCACTTCAGATGTTTTCTGAATAGACAGTTAAAGTAAGCTGGTTTACATTAATAATGGCTTTGAAAGAGGAGATCTTAGACACTGTCAAGGGTGGTTTCATTGCCCTTGAGTATAAATCGTCATTAAAGGAGGATGGCACTGTGGTTAATTAGCAAACTCTTAGGGGAAAAAAATGTAAGTTTATGTTACCTCACAGAAGGATTATTCTTGTATGCTGGTGCTGCATATGCTTAAAAACAAATTACTTCAAAATCTGTAAATAGAGATACATTCCTTTCACACCACAGGTCAAATTCTCAACTTGTGAAACTCYAAGATAACATCATTGATGCTATTTTTCAGGTAAGTACTGAGCATGAAAATGCATGAACAAACGCAGCAGCAAATAAACCATCTCACCTGTCGTCCTCATTGCTCAGGCCACAATTTTGCAGTCTTGAAAGGGCTAAACGGAAGAATTGCTCTGGAAAGCAAAGAGGAGAGAGAAGATTTTAATGAAACACTCAGTAGTTCCCAGTTTAAAAATAAGCTTGCCATCCGACTACAGCATTTTTAGTAACTATTGTTTTTACACACTGTGCTTAAAGAACTTAACTTGTAATTTAGGGCCATGCATGAATCAAGCATGTCAAAGGAATAGAGGTTTCTCGTGGCTCCTTTTCAGAGAGCGTTTCCCACCCTCATATTCCCTTGTGGCCAAAAACAATGGGATTTGTACCYAGAAGCTCCCCAGAAGTATAAGAGGGTTTTCCAAGACTCATGCCCTAATGGGCTTTGATTTTGCCTTACTCGCCTTCAGCTGGAAGAGATGCAACCTTGATGTAGCCTTCCTCCCTCCCAGAGGAGGGGCTGCGCAGCCTGGGCATGGGAACCACGTTACCTATCTCGAGATAGTTCACCCAAGCAGCCTGTGCTAACTGCACAGGAACCACATTACTTATCTTGAGATAATTCACCCAAGCAGTCTGTGCTAACTGCAAAGCATCTTCTCGGTCCTCCCTCAGTGCTGGTTTTGACACTTCTGTAGCTCTCATTGCAACAGGACTTGAGTGACTCTCTCTCAAATGTGGTTTTCCTGTTTGCAACCCCAGAGAGGCAGGAAAACACACCATTCTTGACACACAGAGAGAGGGCAAGGCAAGAGACTAGCACCCAGGTTTGCAAGGGCGATAAAATGGTGCACTCCTTGGGCTTAAAAATAGAAGTCACTCAGACGTCACAACCTTTCTCAAAAGTGCAACCGAAGTGTTCAGAGTCTCTATCCCAGGCTAATCTGAGCCTGAGCGAGGCAAGCAGCAGCTGTCAGCAGGCAAGCCCTTTGCATGGGTGCAGCCACGTGGTGGGATGGCGGGACGCCGCTCCGCAGCCTCAGTGACACCTCCTCTGACCTAAGGAGCCAGCCTGGCGAAGGGAACCAACCTCAACCTGGAGACACTGCCACGGGCCTCAGGGGGACCCGAGGTGTGTGACACCTTAGGTGTGTGACACTTTAGGTGTGTGGCACCTTAGGTGTGTCGGGCGAATCCCAGTGCACTGACACAGCCGACACTCCACGGAGTGTTGTATATCTTCAATACTCCAACACAAATACATGCAAGCTGGGTGAACGGAGTTTAAATTTAATCTCCTGCCTTCTCCGCTCCAAGCAGCATGTGGTTTGTTAAAAACAGGATGCAGGTCAAATGGACTAAATAAAACCATTAAATTGCTGGAAGGTGTCCCTCAAGGTCTGGCATTGGTCAATAGAGTATACCAAACCTAGGGATTCAGATGACCTAACTATATGCATTTACACTTTAAATATAGATTCATACRGAACACAAACCTGCTCTCTTTATTCCATAAGGTAGTTCAAACTTTTCACTTCCATGGAACTCTGCCACTTTGATAAAATCATTAGCACACAGGAATGGGTATATTTTGTCGACCCTAATAAAGGCGAAAAACAAAGAACTTTTAAAAATCCACAGGACAGATAAGAATATGTTTAGAGTATTATACTATATTAATACAATATTATAATGTTATAATGTAAAATTTAGGTAGTGAGTGAAGGATAAAAGAGCTAATTCTCTGTTAGTGTAAGTTATAGGGATTCACTGAAGTCACATGCACTGAAGAAGTTTACACCATGAGACAGAATATTTGAAAGAAGCTATGATCCAGTGACACAACCAGTAACAGCAAAGAATAATTATTAAATATGGTAGTAACAGAAAAAAAAAGAGTTTGAAACAAGGTGTTTTAATTTGAAAATATCTTGAGCACTTCATCATGATTGAGAAGTGCTCCCATTCCAAACAAGTGGTACTTTACAGCAGTGTTAACATTAGCAAGTATGTCGGGGCGAGAGGAGCAGATCCATATAACAAAACAATACACAAGAGTGCCAAGGCCACACACAGCAGGGATTTACTTGGGACTAACTAGGCACAGTACATCAGTTGTGCACTTGCCATGCGCCTTCTGTATGCTTTGTATGGAAAAAAAATCCAGCCCATGTGCACCACTCTGCACGTCACATAGGCATCATAGACGATAGGCATCATTATGGCTGGAAAAGACCTTTAAGATCATCGAGTTCAACTGCAAACCTATCCTCACCATATCTGCTAAACCATGTTCCTAAGCACTTCATCTATACATTTCTTGAGCACTGCCAGGGACGGGGACTCCACCACTTCCCTGGGCAGCCTGTTCCAATKCTTGACTGCTCTTTCTATGTAGAAATTCTTCCTAATGTCTAACCTGAACCTCCTTGGTGCAACTTGAGGCCATTTCCTCTTGTCCTATATGTAGTTATTCTGGAGGACAGACCAACTTCCACCTCAGTGCAGCCTCCTTTCAGGTAGTTGTAGAGGGTGCTAAGGTCTCCTCTGAGCCTCCYCTTCTCCAGACTAAACAACCCCAGCTCCCTCAGCCACTCCTTGTAAGGTCTGGACTCCAGGCCCTGCACCAGCTTCGTTGCCCTTCTCYGGACACGCTCAGCACCTCCATGTACTTCTTGCAGTGAGGGGGCAAAAACCAAACACACTTTTCAAGCTGTGAGCTACCGAGTACAGGGAGACGATCATTCTCTGGTCCTGCTGGCTACGCTGTTCCTGATAAAAGCCAGGAGAGTGCTGGCCTTGGCCACCATCATGAGGGTATGTGCCTCCAAAGGCCCTTCCTCCTGTAAACTGACGCTCCAACACGTCACACTTTCCATGTGTCATGATAGGACAAGTYACTTGTTCCTTGCAAAGGCAGTGACCATGGCCAAGGGTTATTCCCAGGGAAGGGAGTCAACCTGCCAAGTCAAGCCGAACGAGCAGGGGGCAGACTCTGTCCCATCACRTGCTACCATGCCCTTGGCTTCACCTCATACTTCAGGCCACAGACGCTTGCTGAAGCGGCTGACTTTGCTCTAATCCTGCATACCATGCCTTGTCTTAAAATACTAACACACAAGTGTGCAGTCACAAGAAGAAAGCCTAGAGTGTTGACCATAAACATGCACACAGCCAGTACGTGACTTGTTGCTCCATTAAGAATATTAAGAACTGCAAAAGAAATAACCTCACCCTCTCGGTTTCACAAATCAGATGTCTCACTCATTCAGCTCCACATAGTTAGAAAATAGCAACAGCAAAAGAGAATCAAGAACGAGGCTCTAGGTTAACAAAGTGAGACCTACTAACTTCCTGAGACACTGCACTAAACATCCTTATTAAATTTAATAGCACGCCTTGCTGTTGAGAGGCAGCTGGTAAGGCTTAGTTGTAGTAAATAATTAATGTACTGCAAAGGGATTCTTAATTCTGGCTCTGTTTCCTTTCCAATAAATAATTCTGYCAGGCTAGAAATCCTTTCAGCCACCCCAGGCTGTTACCAAAGTGCACAGACCAGATCTTCAGCTCAGGCAAACTACCCCCTCATGCAAATAGGCATGAGACATGCTCAGCCCTGGCTCTGCACTTACCTTCTTCTTGCTGTTCATCTCCAAGACCTTTCCTGCTCCCTTGCACGGGAGCAGGGCTACCCTGCCATATCTGACAAAGAGTCAGTGTGGGCCCCTTTTGTGAGCAAAAGGGCTAGTGTCACCCCTGTGAGCTAAGCAGCTAACCAAAATGTGGGGATTAGGGCAACAGAGGCCCACTTTGGGAGAAAGACAGACCAGAAGAGATCCTCGCACATTCGTTGAAATAGTAACAAGACTGAATCAAAGTCTCGCTCTCTTGTAGGGATAAGCATTGAAGAAATGGTGCATTTGCTTAAAACTGAGGCCTCCTTTAGCCAGGATATCGTCTAAATGCCTTCCCAAGCTTTCCCCAGGGCCGTGCTCAGTGTTTGCTCAGATAAAATACAAAGCCCACAACAGAGCCTGCCCGTTTCTGTTCCCGCGGCATTCCCTTGATCTCTCTCATCTAACACACATGCTTCTAATACAGAAAACTCCCAGCATTTCCCCACACATATCTTGGGGGCACATCTGTGACCAAGYATCTTCTATATTTTGTGTGGAAGCTCTTCTTTTTTTCCAGCTTCCTGCTTCTTTAAGAAGGTTCCTTTCTGCAAATATCTTAAAGAGGAGGACATCCAAAATATACAGTTTAAGAGTGCTTTCCAAAAAGCAAACCATGGACAATCTCAAATGTTTATTCATTAACAAGGAGAAAGGGGGGAAATCTTATATCATTAAAGCCTGGGTGTATTTGGACACATTCATGCTCCTTTCCACGCAAACTGAAAAGACTTTCAGAACTTCTCTGGTCTCTCGCTGCTACAGAAATGCTTAGCTATCGAAACATCTTAAGCTTGTAATTCCAAGCCTAATCAGAAAACAACTGAGTTGCAATCATTGCCATTAAGGCTTCTTTTACAGGAAAAGAAAGGGAGGGCCTGTGTTTTAATCAAGAAACTAGTTTCAATGATACTAGTTACTCTATCTGCAGACAAAATACTTCTTTWTTCACTGTGTACGCAGCATGTTGAGCTAGTTGTATTGTCCAGGTGTGAAAGAATGGCAAGCTGAACAGTTTGTGTTGCCAGACCCAAGAAAAACAGCAATGAACTCGCGCCTAAGATCTGCGCTTCCTGAAGCGAAGTGTGAAATAGTTCAGGACATGTAAACACTCAATAGTTCTCCTCAAATTGACACAACCTTGCCCTTCTTCCCACCTTCTCATGCAGGACTCACCCCAGCAAAGATTCAAAAGCTGGTTTCAGGAGACAAGTGTCTAGTTCATTCTTTCTTTCCACAGCAGTGGGTGGCAGTCTGCAAGAGAAGGATTTCAAAGAAATGGCAAGAATAGAAACATGGGACATCAACAAGCTGGGTAAACTTGGACAAACAAAATTAGCAAGCTGACTACTGAGTTACCAGCACGACAAATTTTTACGACTGCCTTTGTATTGTGAAGGCAGACTTTCCTAGTTGCAGCTTGACTCTTTTTACTAGCAAGGCTTTTATTTTCACAGTGCTGCTCCAAGGTGGTTGTGATTTTCCTCGCTGTGCAGCTATTGTGGCGGATGAAGCCAGTAGTTAGAGGTGAGGGCCACCTCCAGAGAAGCAGAAGCTTTCTGGTGATCCAGCCTGCAGCTCTATGCAGGTCATGGGCTCCTCCGAGATGAAGCAGGGGCTCTCTCTGGAKCAGGGAGTGAAGAGCACCACACACACACTTGAGGAAAGAGAGATGCTTTGGGGCTAAGTCACTCCTCTCATAATAAGGCCAGAGGGCTAAGACTTACGCTTCTAAGCACATTCCCGCCTTAGCACTTCAGCTCATTTAAGAACAAACACGGAGGCCGGGAGGGAGGGTAAAGTTCAGTCTGAGCAATGCCTGCATCTGGGCCGCATTAAGAGCAGAAGGATGAAACCACTGCGTTACAGCCACAAGCCAAACAGGCCATTCAGGTTAATTGATTTTGTAACCTCAGCTTGTCATGTGAATATTGACACCAAGAAAGCACGCTGGGAAATGCATCAGCCGGCCAGCTAATTGTTTTCTAGCTACAGTCTCACAAACAGGACCGCTTCAGAGGGAATGGAGGCCTGCATGTAAATTTTAGCATAGATGCTCATTAGTCCTGCAAACCTAACTGCAGGAATTTACTGCAGCAACATCTGCTTATACAAGCATTTGCACATCACATGCAAGTAGAAGGCATCTCTGATTTTTTCAATTTTAAGCACAAATTTGTCCTTGCATTCTTGCTAACTTTGTTCAGGCTGCACCTCGGAAGCACAAACAGTTGGAGATTATTAGCAGATGCCCTTCCCACAGAGCATTGCTTTTTACAGACAGTCACTGTAAGCAGCCGTAATATTAGCCAAATACTGGACACATGACAGGGACAAATTCATTTCTGCTAAACATGTTACAACTGCGTGCGTAACAGAAATGGTCAGTGGACATGACTGCACGACAACCAATTGAGTAGGGAGCCTCGGGATAATGGTATAGATTTTAATTTCAATCCCTCTCCCAGCCCAAACACCAACCACAATACACACACATACACACATTCAAAAATACACACACACACACACACACACACACACACACACACACATAAAAGTGCTGAACTTACTGAGTAATTCCAGTAGCCTCATAGGAAGAAGGACTCCTCACAGAAGAAGTCTGTCCGTAAAAACTAATCCTGCAAGAAGGAAACACAGTAGCATTGAGTGTTGCTATAAACTGTAGCCAACATGGATAGTCTTTCGTATTAGTCACATGAGACAAATAAAGGCAAATCAATCACTCCCTTTTAAAGCTATCAGTATCACCTTCACAATACAAACACATGGTCAGCCCTGGTTGGCAAAGGCCTGCAAAATGAAATCTCAACTTCTTAGACAAGAGCCCTGAATATTTAGGCCCCCAATAGCCTATGCTACTGGAGACAGTCAAGTCTCATCTCCCAGCAATTGGCCTCAATGAGTTTCAGCATTTCAGAAGGTGCCAGGTCCACCTGCAGATACTCCCATGCATGGGGTAAGTCTCTCCCAAGCTGATTATCAGACACCTAGGAAGGGAGCTCACACTAAACACACTGAGACAGGGAGCAAGGAATCACACAAATAAAATCTCTTTCCTCACCTGGACTCTTGTTTACAGGAAATTCCAAGGAACATCCTATCTTTGAGATCCCAATTTCTCGATGTAACCAACTCAAATCGGTTGCTGCATTTAAAACTTGCATGAGAGAAGGGGGAAGGATGTCAGGACAGCACAACCCCATTCATTCTTCACGGTACAAAACAAACCCCACAGCAGTAATCAGTCCTAGCAAACATAACTCATAACCCAACAACTGGGGGCCACAGACATTGCACAGACATGAGGGTATGAGCACTAATAAGTGAAAGAAACACTCTCTTACCAATAGAGGTTATTCCTCCACAAATTTCCATGAAGTATGCCATACATAACAGCAGCAGCCAGGATAAAAAACAGAAGGATTCGTTTCATGACTGGTAGATCTGAAACAGAAGAAATACAAAACAGGAAATGTAAATGAAAGTAATGATTTTGAAGTGAGCTTTCATAAGACATCTTTGAGCTGGGAAAGGAAATCACTGTTACAACAGCCACTCTCCCCCAGCACAGTCCYGCCTGGGGATCACTCTGATGCTGTGTCCCTGTGACAGGAGCTGAACGCCCCACTCCAGCACACCACCTCATGCATGTGCACATTCTGCATGACAGAAATACTAACCAAGTTTGCTTTGGGTTCCCTCTGAAGTTGCTGGAGAAATACAGGCTCTTGCAAAGGCACAGACTAGGAAACCCTTTCTATCCACCAGCAGCCCAAAATCACTCATGTCTTTGGTCACAAGTTGACCTTTTGGGCCACCCAGTTGACACAGACCTCACAGCAATGTGCAAAAGGGGAGTCAGGACCCAGCCCATGGAAAGTACTTAAGAACCTACTGACTTCTGGAGAAACAGCAGAGAGTGTTTGTTTTTCAAATAGAGCTTTCACCTCCTTGCACAGTTTAATAAAACAAAACCAAGGAAACACTGAGCTGCTGCATCTGGCACAGCTTGCTGAGGGAAAAGCAACAGGTTTGCATTGCTCTAACACACTGAGCCGCTCTTTCAGTGGCTATGAATGAACTGCTGTTACTTAACCTTCCAAAAGTCCAAAATAGCCATTCTGGCCACAAATTACCGTGGAAATTTACTAGAGAGCTCTATCCAGCCATTGTTTTCATTCCTCTCCCCATGGTGGCAAGTAGCTCCACTAGCAGCACGCAATCCATGTTCACCTATCTGCATGTCCATATTTTTAATGAGCAGAGTTCTCCAGCAGAAATAAGTGCCTATGAGAACACGTGTACTGCTCATTTTTCCAAGATAAAGACCATGGGCTTTATGTCTCCTTTTTTTTTTTTTTTTTTTNTTTTTTTTTTTTTCAGTTGGGTTTTGTTGTTTTTACTTTTTTTTATATTCCATATGGCTTTTAGGGTATTTAGAGTTTAAACCTGCAGGAAAACGATGGCCACAACCCAGTCCTCAAGGTTGGTAGAGCAAGTGATTTCCAACACTGCATTTTACTTAGCATCTTAACATCATTCCTTACATTAAAGACCATAAAATAACCACAGCAGAGTGCTAGATTTTGTTATAAGTCATGAGGCAAACTYCTGCATTGTACTACATATACTTCCACCCTGAAGAAATATCTAATAACCTATCTACCAATGGCCGCCTGTCACAATGGGATGGGTGCATGAAGCCAACCACTTCCGTAGGTTTTTTTGTTTTGCTTTGTTTTTCTCAAGATCCTTCCCATCAGTTTAATTATAGGGTCAGAGTTGGGGTTTCTAACATCCTCTCCCAGTCCCAAAGCCACACAACAGACAAGCTAGAATCTGTTGATTTTAAGCATACCAGCTCAGACTGTCCTGCTGCATTGGGGTGAAATGCCTCCATGGGCAACTATTCCAGCTCCAATTTTCATTCCTCCTTGGGAATTGATGATGTCTCTCTTACAGCTTGAACTCTGTTGATTCCTCTCTGCAATTTTTTGATAGCCATTCTCTACTTGCAGAGCAAACCATGAGTTTTTGCAATAACTTTGTAAAGATTTTTTTCCCTAAAACCTTGCGAACATTACAAATAACCCACCTATAAGGCCTACTCAAATGCCAGCAATTGGCCAATTCACATGCAAAAGACGCTATTTTCCTTATGGTTTTCATCCCACTGTCAGTGTTCTGCTTTACAAAAGATTTCTAAAATACAACGCTGCTGCATAAATGCAACTTGTAAAAGTTGCACTGACTGAATAATGGGATCAAGCGGAGTCAGTCTACATTTTACTCCCTAATTCAATGTAAATTTCAGTTAAATCAACAGCAGACAACAATCAGCTCTCCAGATAATGCTGCTAAACTACCATCTTACATTGAAAGCAGGAGGAAAAAAAATAAGTAATTTAATCAGTTGCCAAAGCAAAGCCTCAGTAAGAGAATCCTGCCTACCAGTCAGAACAAGCTAAGAAGAAACATTAAGAAACAAAAACAAAACCCCTATCTTTTCAAGAGAAAAGAGGRAAAAAAAGTAAGCTTTCCTAATTTCTGCTGTGGTAAGGTATTTGCAAAACTATTCACCGTGCCTGCAAAAGCAATCATAGCCTTTAATGAAATATTCACTTTGGCATACACAGGCCAGCACAACTAATCCATCTAACCCGGCTAGCCCTGCTGCGTTGAACACAGAATGGGTGAGCACCTTCTCGCTGCCCGATCGCCCACTGCCTGGCTGCACGGTGGCTACGTGGAGAGTTCAAAGAGAAGAGCTTGGCCATGATGCAAGATGTTCTCTTTACTAAAGGCTTTTCTTCAAACTCATTTTAATAAACGGATCTATTGCTTGTTTACAGAAGAAACTATGTGTGTGTTCTTACCAGTGACAGCATTTTCCAACTCTCCCTTCCTTCTCTAAAATCAGCTAAAAAGCACAGAAAACTAATTAAATGAAAACATAAACTCCTACGATTCCCATACTTTGAGATGGAAGAAAATGAGCAACTGAGAAGATGGTGTCGAGATGCAAAATGGCAGTCACACCTTGGTTTATTTAACAGAATGCAAACGTCAGCATCTTCATCTAAGCTCACGAGCCTCGCAGACAGAGGTCATGGTGCTGTTGGGCCAAGGTCCATCAATTTATCCTGGTCCCTCTGCCACGGGMAGCGCTCTGCCTCTCTTTGCCCTTCACTTTGCACAGGGGGCTAAAGTCACCCGGACACAGGACAAAAACTGCCCGGCTGGAAGCAGTGGCTGGTAGATTGGGCAATCACCCGACTGTACTATAATCACCTTTTTTCCACTCCTAATGCTTGCCAGCCTTCCCTTTGCCTCTCAAGCTTAAAATTGGATTGTTAATAACACAATGGAGGAGGTTTTGCCATCTGTCATGTTTATTTCGTAAAGCGCCTGCGATTATTACTAAGGTAAATGTTTAACTCAAAAGGGGTTATTACTAACTTAAATGCTACTCATCTTACAACATTTTTGGCTCCAAACCTCTTCTTGGGACAGGTTTTCTTCAACCTTGTGCTGCTGCCAACTTGCTGGTGGCATGAAAATTTCATCTCACTCCCAGCCCTCAGGGTTGTGGGGATGAAGGGGAAGGGAGCTTGAAAATGTGCTTTGAGGGGGCCTTAAAATTTAAAGGGTCAGGAGAAAATAAATAAATTCTAAAACATTGTTTTTAAAAATCACATGAATTTTAAGGCATATTTACTTTTTTACAAGACTGGTTGGGTGATTGCCCACCCTACAAAGCTGCTTCCTCTGGACGTGGATGCAGCGCATATCTTACAGCCCGGCCAGGCCGCAGCGCGAGGGGCAGGACGGAGCCTCAATGTCATGATTTTTCCTCGAGCCGAGTTGCCAAAACACGATACAGCATGACGCACGTACACATATTTCTTCTGCCAAACTGATACCGAGTATGCTGCTGACTTTCCCAGCTCTTGCTAACAACCCTAAGTATGTGCAGTGCAGCACAGTTGATTTTCTCATTTTCTTTCTTCTTTCCAAGAAGGAAATGCTGAATCAGGCAGTACAAGAGCACTGCAGCAGAGCCTTAACTTCATATTGAAGCGATGAAGTCATTCTAGGGCCTTCTCCTCGCACCTTTTTCATGATTTTTTTTCATCATTTATGCTGCCGCTTTCAACATYTGTTTACTAAGAAACAGAAGCCCTCAGAAATATTAAAATTTAATGAGGAACATAGATAGCTACTGAAGTGAACCAAAACTGTGTTTCCGAGACGCAGAGAACAGTGATTTGCTTAGGAAGTGGTAACTTAACAGCTCCCTAAAATGAAAAGATTTCTTTACGACCTGCCCTCTGGCCACCTACAGGTCATGAAGTAGTTATTCTGGTTTATGAAACTTAGGTTTTACTGGGGCAAAAAGGCACCAGCATCTCCCACTCTCACATGCCATGAAGTATCACAAAGCAATGTCAAAGACAAAACATGTTTTTACGGATATTTAAAGATTTCTTATACATTCGAAAATAGGTTGTTTTTAGGCTTTCTGTATCTGTAATGTATCTGTACCTAGTATCTGTATGTGATGAAGCTACAAGGTGGAAAGGATGGATGTAGTGAAGAATTCCTTGGCTCCACAAGTTGGACTCTCCTTTCCTTCTAACAGCATATGGAACTAGCCATTTACTAGCAATTTACTTACAGCAGTACATGTACCATTTTGTGAGGAATTCATTGTTTCTCTACTGTCGGTGCCTTTTGAGACTAGACACCAACATTTTGCTCCCATGTGAGCACGCCTGCTAGCTGTGTCAAGGAGGAGAAAAAGCAACTTCAGTTGTCCTCACAGCCAAGCACCCTCTCGCTCTGCTTCTGTCCCAAACCTTCAAGGGGATTTGTGCATCAATTCACTTTTCTTCTTGTGTGATCCCCCAAAGCAAACCTATTCATAAGGCCAAAAAGTCTTCCCATATCCTCTCCTTAGGCAGGCATATCCTCTACCGAAGAAATATTGATAAGGAATTCAAGTCCAATCAACAAGCACGTTGCCACTTCATCCCATTCAATCCCACTTCATCTGGTGGAAGAAGAAAGTCACCTTGCTCAAGGAAGCCCCCACACTGGAGAGGTTCCTCTCTGTGTCTTGGGCACATGGAACAACGTCAGCACCGCACCTTCTCCCCCACMAGCCCTCATCTCCAGTCCCGCTCTTTGGCCTCATTCCTGCTGAGCAAAAGGAACTGGGCACAGGAGCTCCTGGTTTTGGCCAAGTCTTTGCTCAGCTCAGCCCTTCAAGTCTCTTGGCTCCCTTGTCCATTCCTCTTACTTACCAAGTCCAACACAACCTGCTCRGTGGCTGTGAATTTTCACTTCTCTTCTCCCCACCTGGGCATCTAGCAGCTTTTACATGYGCCCTGTAGCAGGGGCAGGAACAGAAGCAATAAAAAGGAACGTGCCCAGGAAAAAAA